TAAATGTGAAGAATCGGAAGAAAAGAGAGCAAAAAATGTAAAAAGAAAGGGGGAAAAAAGCAGACCTCAAGTGATTAATGATGGTTTTAGTTGGCGGTGGACTAATTAACGAGTTGTCAACGGTATGGGCTTTTGATGATTCAAATGAGAGAAAAGTGAGTGAATTTACGGTTATGAGTGTTTAAACAATAGATTGAGTTGTATTTTTTTGTTTTTGGTTTCAAATTTTCTTTAAAAAAAAAATTGAAAGTTAAACTATTTGAAGTAACATTTTTTCAGTTTTTGTACAATTTTTCACATAGTCTAATCTCATTCAATGAAAGACATATATGGTATTTAAATTATCTAGAGGAGCAAAAATATCCAAAAATGACAATCTTACAAAGATTTTTTAAAATTGACATATCTGAAAATGCAAAATCAAAAATTGAGATGTAGTGCAATTTCCTATTCTTTCTTATAGTGTAACCTCTACTCGTTCTTTCATATTCATTTTGGAATTACTTGGAAAAATTCCTATGCTCTACCAAATTATGCATCTACTTTCTACCCCCATTTATTTCTCTAAGTTCTTTATAAAACCCTATTAGTGCTGCAATGTATTGTTAATTTTCATAATGTAATGAACAACCAGACCTTTGAATATGGCTTCCTCTAATGCTTCTGTTGGAACCATTATGGTTTGCTTGATCGTGACTTCCCTAACATTGATTATTTTCCCAAGAGAAGTTAGGATAAGTTCTCCAACCCGAATTATTGGTTTTAAAGTAGAAATTGTTCTGCTACCTCTGAAATTTCTGTGAATAGATTATCTCCTCGGAGGTAAACGTGTGAGCATACGCTAAAGGATAATTGGTTATCTAATATTTTGCCTCATAGTGTTATACATCTTCTTTGTTAAAATATCCATTTAAGCAGATAATGTTGAAATGACATCAATGGTGTGAACTCCTGCTACTTTCCTTTGTGCCTTCCTATATGATGATCACATAGCACTAGTCTTTGGCATGCTCTCAAACAAAGCATATGCTTTTGGGATATCATCGTCTTGATAAAACCATTTGGTGATGAATCAACTTTAGGTGGGATAACAAAAAGTAACATGATAAGTGGTTTTATGAACTTATTTAGACCATATTACTAAATTTTTATGTCTTTAAATTATTAATTTCTACTTAACTTGGGTTTATTTTCTCTTGTTTTTACTGATGGACTCGTTTGAAGTATTTGGAAAAAGATGAAGGATAAATTGAGCATTGGATAAGTTTGAAGACTTATATTCACACTTTGAAATTTGAAGGGCATAAATTGATTTAAAGAAGACATTTTTCTGTACAATTGAATAGGATAAAGGACTAAACTGCATTATTTGAAGAAGATGAAACATCCGAGAGAAATAATAAATTGAAAGGACAATTAATCAAAATTGGTCTTTTGCACTTGAACTTGGAATGGGAATAAAAAGTTAATTGAACTTGGACTTCATTGCTCTGGAGATTTTGAAAATGATAAGTAAGAAAAAGTCTTTTGAAAATTTTCTACGTGGATACCAATTAGGGTGGCAATTAATAATATTAATAAAAAGTCTAGGTATGCAATTAATTGTCGTAAGAATAAGAAAAAGCATCGTAGATTTTGCAGTAATAAAAAATATACGTGTATTAAATTCTATTTGAAAAATCTGTGACAAAAAAGTCTTATTTATTTATTTATGGTAAAGTTTTCTGCGTTGAAAGAAAAATCTTTGTGAAAGTTTGAAAAAGTCTTTAGTGAAGAAAGTGTTGGAAAAATCTATTAAAAAGGCTACTAAGACAATAAAATCTTAAAAGAAAATTTTTTCTCTTAAAAATGAAATCTTACTAGTTTTATGTTTATTTTCTCTTATAATTTTTATGTCTTTTTGCCATTTCTTACAATCTTCAGATCTTTTATCAAGAAACTCCGAACTGAAAGATAGAAAGCTCAATGATTTATTTATTGAACTGTAATGAGGAGTCACCCCTATTTCTATCTAGTACGAATAATATATGGTTTTCTATAATAATTATTCTACCAATCTCTAGATTTTCTAAACAAATATCAATAAATTCTTTAAAACTTTCTACTAAACAACAAAGCAAAGTAGATGATATATAATTTATCCAATTACATTAAATATTAGAACTAAAAATCAATATGTTTGTAATGGCTTTAGAGTACTTTATCGTTCAGCAAATTAATTTCTTTAAATTTTTATTTTTTAACTCTCTTAACCTTTTTCTTGACCTTCTAAGAAAGGTTTAAGACTATAATTAAAAAGATTTTCATCATGATTAAAAAGGCTTAAATGAATTCCCAAAATCAGGATACAAAACAACCAGCTTAACTCAGAGGATTGCTTTATCTTATTAATCATGAAGTCCAAAATAAAGAGGTTAAGACGTTATAATATAGTAAAGATAAAAAGATAATTTTTTCGGAATAAATTAATTGCTTACTTAGTGTTTCGTTTGTTAGGCCTTGCCCGAAACATAAATAAAGTAGACAAAAATTATAAACAATGGAAAGTGTGAAAAATACTTACTTTACTTATGAAGTCTTTGAATTTACAAAGAGTATGAAGAGACTTTTGAGTACAAGTATGAGAGTGTGCTTGGTGTTTTTCTCGATGTGTGTTTCTTTGTGAGTAGTATGAGCATTTATAAACACTGGTACATTACGTCTATTATTTTGATTCTGTATCATTTTACAAGTGTGCGATAAATAATTAAAGAGAAAGTAATAAATATTGCACAACTTTATGGGTGCACAGTTTTAAAATGATTGTATGAAATTATTGACAACTTTTTTCTTCATTCTGACAACCTTATCTTCAGGCTTCCTCCTTTTGTTGACTTTACTTAATAATTCAGTACTATTTTTTCTTTATGTCTTTTCATCTTTCTATCTTTGCTTTGTCCTTTCTTCATTCTCAATTATTGCATCTATTTGTCCATCATTTCAATATAGGCTTCTTCTAGCTCTGAATCAATTTCATTGTCTTTGACATTGGATATGTATTCTTCTTCTATTTGTCTTTTTCTTAAACTTTTATATTTTTTATCAGTCCATTCAAAGTCTCTTGCAGGGGAAAAAAATATTTACCTCCTATGTCATATTCTGTATGTATGGGTTCTTTTCTTTTTCCAAATTCGTGATTTGTTTCCATTTTAGCTCTTTTGCTAGCTTCTCCCATTTTTGTTTCTATGTCTACTTGAATTTTTCTATTAACATTCTAGTTTTTATTTTCTCTAACTTTTCAAAAATTTCTATAATATTTCATATCTATATATCCAAATTCTTTTTCATCGTCCTCGCTTTCATCTTCTTCACTATCTTCGTTTAAAGTATTAATCTCGTCCTCACTGTCACAGTCTTCTATTTCAAAATATCCACATTCTTTTTCATTTTCTTCTTCATTATACCTTGACTATTCTGCTTGATGATTATAATTTCCAAATCTAATGCTTAAAATTTCATTACTATTTTTGTACATAATATTATTTTCTGGTACTAATATTGATTTTTCTAAAAAATTTCTTAAGTTTCAATCTAATCTTGCATTTGTTTCTGAAGAGAATTTCTTTGTTATGATAGCATTTATACCTTTTTGTCTTAATAATGTAATTATTTGATAAATTTCTAATTTATAATTAGTAGTACTATTTTCACTAAGTCTTTCTATGAATCCTATGCAGATTTGTAATTTATCCTCATCTCTTTTCATTTGATATCCATTGCTTTTTATTCCTATTTTAATAACTTGATAGAAATTCTTTGTTATGACTAAATAGTTTGGTGTAAAATATACTATTTCACATTTATTATTCATATCTAATTTTATGGTTCCTAATAATTCTTGTTCCATGTCTAAGAATCTGCTATCATGTAAACCTACTGATACTTTAGCTAATAAATTTTCTCTATGAAGCCATTTTACTCCTATTATTAATCCTAAATGAGTTTGTTGAAGATTTTTATTAACAATTTATTTATAAGATTCTTTTTCTATTAAATCTAAGGATATAAATTGATCTTCATGTGTACAAAAAACATATCTTTCTCCATAATGCTGATATATTAAATATTTGCTAAATAAATTTCCTTTTATATATATATATATATATATATATATATGAGGCTTTTATTAATTTTAGTTTATTTTGTCTAAACATTTCTATCTGTTCTTCTATATATATTAAATATTCTAGTCTTGTTTCTGATTCTATTTTTGTACTTAATGTTCTGAGTAAAGGATTACCAACTAATTTACTATTACTGGCTACAATTTGTTTTCCTTTATCCATTACGTATAGATCCACTTTGTTTTCTTAAATTTGCTAGGTTCTTTAGTCTTACCTAAATCTAAATTTTCTAATTTATATTATATTATCTAAATCTTGTCTAGTATCCATTGACTTTTCTTTTTTCTAATGTTTTAATTCTACTTTCCAATTTTTCTAAGTTAGGACTAGTATCCATTTCTCATGTATTGTTAAATTTTCTTTTTAGTATTTCGGTATTTTGATTTTTAATATATTCTAAATTATTTTCTAGAGTCTTTTTATTTCTACTTATATTTTCTAATAAAGTTTCTACCCTTTTATTTAAATTGTTTCTTTCTAAAATTTCTCCTAGATTTACTAGTAAATCTAAATACTATTTAACTGTTTATCTTCCCAAGCATCACTACAACAAAAGTTACTTTTTACGGCATATGTTTACGGCGTGCATATGAAGCATGACGTTAAAATAGACTATTTACAGCATGCGATAAACGTATGCCGTTAAAAATGAATTGCTTAAGGTATTTACGGCTTGCATTTTTTGCACGCCGTAAATATGATTACTTACGGCGCACCTGTGCGATATGCCATGTTTGGAAAATAAATAAATAAATAAATAAAATTGGACTTTTCATGACATGCATATGTACGCCGTAAATGCCGTCTATTTTCTTCTATTTTTGTTCTTTTCTTTTCTTTCCTTTTACCTTCCTTTTCATTCCTACGGAACACGGTCGACCTCTTTCCTCTTCCTGCAATTTCTTCCTGCTCTCTCCGACTGCCGTTCTCTCCCAAATTACCAACCTTCAATCGCCCATCAACCATTTAGTCAGCCATCACCCGTGAGCCCATTTAGGTGGTGATTATGATAATCCCGTAAGATTCATAGAACGAGGAAGAAAATGGTACCTATGTAAGTCTATTTCGTCTAAAATTTGATTATTTGTTTTTTAGTTCGAAAATTGATCTGGGTTCGTTTTGTTCTTTTAATATTTGATTTTCGATAAGTTATTGAATTCGATTATTTCCTCAATTTATTTATTATTATTGTTTTTTTGGCATTTTTAGTACGAAAATTAAACTGGGTTTGATGGGTTCTTTTTGATTTTTTACTTTATGTGATTTCTATTATTGATTCATTTCTACTTGATTTTTTATCTTCCATTTTGTTTCTGACTCTACATTACTTATTTTTTGTTTCACAATTCAAGGGAAATAAAGAAAAAGTATTTATTTTCTTGGGCAAGTTATGAACTCGAACACTCCGTTATTAACTGCTGGAATAAATGGATCTATGGATTCAACAGCTCCCAGAGGAAATTCCAAGCGACCCAAATGTATTTTTTTCTTTTTAATGCTCTTCTTAATTTTCTAAACTTATTTGTTTCTATTGCTCAATTGGCAACTGCCGACGTGATGTTTTAGCCTTGATTCTTAGTTTTTTGCTCAGAATTTTGATTGTTATGTCAATCTTTTGTGGGTATCTTGCAAATTAACTTAGTTCAAGAATTGGTTGAAGGTCTATTCAACTGGTACTATTTTGATTATGTTCTTGCAAGTTCTGTAAGTATGGATTTTCTTTAGAAGGTCTATATTGAAGTCCAGGTTTAGTGTTTGAATGTCACCATTTTACTTGCTTGGTTCTATAACTTCTATCTTTGAGATGCAAATGATTGACTTATACATGATTGAAAACACTAAAAAATATGATAAAACTAAAACAAAATGAATGTTTCAAAGGTCTTGAAATAAAGACCTGTCATTAATTTTTTACATGAGATATTTGTATCATACATTGATATGGTTGGGACTACATATATTTGTTTGATGTATGCAAACAAGTGAAGGAGATGGGTGGAAGTAGGAAACCTTCAGATCTAATAAAGGGATACAAGCAATTAGTAGAGAGGAAGAAAGGGTTTGTTGATTGGACAAACTTGATAAGTCTATATCCTCTCATTTACGGTGTGGTGCGCATGCCATAAAAATTATACATTTTTATGGCGTGTCGATGCACGCCGTAAAAAGTGATGCACGGCGTTCCTACACAGTGTACTTTGAACGCCATAAGCGAACCACTTTTTACGATATTGCTTTATACGATGTTCGGCCACACGCCTAAACAGTTTTTTACGGCATGCATTGCATGCTGTAAAAAGTAAGTTTCGTTATAGTATGTAAAGGATGCTTAAAATTTTTATCAAAATTACAAATCAAAGAAGTTGTATCTAAAATATCTTTTCTTTTAAAACTTCCTAAGATTTCTCTTCATAAACTAATTATCTTTTAGACTAGCAAATGGCTCTGATACGAATTTGGGTGGCAAGATTTTGAAAATGACAAGTTAGAAAAAGTCTTTTGAAAATTTTCTAAGTAGATACCAATTAGGCTAGCCATTAATAATATTAATAAAAAGTCTTGGTATGCAATTAATTGTAGTAAGAATAATAAAAAGCTTTGTAGATTTTGTAGTAATAAAAAGTCTACTTGTATTAAATTCTGTTTGAAAAATCTATGCCAAAAAAGTCTTGTTTGTTTATCTAAAGTAAAGTTACACATAGACACGTAAAAAGACAGCAGACAATAAGAACTTCAATTTCAAAAACTTAATTATGTTTCATCAATTTTTAGTGATGTTTTTTATCCTTTATTTGTTTTATTCCAACATTATGTTAGGCTAAATTATTTTGTGCTAGGATTAAAAATGAAACTTATATCACGAACATTTAACTCTTGAATTTTATTTCTTTTTGACATTTAAAATATGTTTTCAATTATTGAATGATTAAAATGGATTTAATTTCTCTATAATTATATGCACAATAATTGTAGGAGCTTAGTAGTTTGTTTTACTTTCGAAAGAATGAAAATAAGTTAGATATAGTTTCAATTATCGTAGAGTCTGATAGAGAACGAAAATATACCGCTATGCTTTACGTGATCTTTAAGTATTTACAAATCTATTAATGCATTTTTATATATTAGCATTCGTCATAGAAATATAGTTGGGCCACATGTGAAACTAGGTTTAATTCTACTCGAGAAAAATTGTTAGACATATTAGGAATATTTTTCTTCATAACTGAAGTGTGTTGTCAAAGTCATAAAGTTCAAGGTTAAAGGGGATTGATATAAAATAATTCGGGGCCTAGTACGCTTTTCATCATTATATTTTTACAAAACTTGCATTTATTTTAGTTAAGTTAGGTATTTAATTTATGGGAAAAATCATGAATTTTAATTATTTCGACTAAGACTAAGTTAATTTGAATTTGAACTAATAAAATCTCTGTGAGTACTATTTTTGGATTGAAAATCCATTTTACTACTTGTTAAAGAACATGCATTTGTAGTATTTTTTATCGAACAATAATTTCGTCGACATAACCCAGCATAAAAAGAATTGATCTATAGTTCTTTGTTGATGTCATGCATTGGACACTTATGTAGTAGCTCATTGAATCTATCACATTTCATGAAAGCTCTTGGAGTTAAGTTGCCTGAATATAGCTATATCATGCTTCAGTTTGGCAACTTTTGATGGTGAGAAGTAATTGTAGTTAAACTTGTGAACAATATCATTCTATGAAGTAATGCTACCAACAGATAACGAATATTGCCATTTCCTTTCATTATCCTTAAGTTTATGTGGGAATAAATACATTCGAATGGTTTCTTCCCTAACCTCCTCATAAACAAATATCTCAAATAATTCCAGAAAACATGATACATGCTCGTGTGGATTTTCATGCTCCTTACCATAAAATTGCAAATGATTGTGATTTTGAAAGAGATTGGTCACTTCCGATTGGAGTTGGAAATTAGCATATGCCCATATAAAGGACAAGTGATGTTCGACTAACTTTTTACCACCAATAAGGGCCATAAACTCTGCAATTATCAAATCTTCCTCATCAACTATAGCTCCAGCTTGTTAAGCAACCTAAACATGATTTGTTGTCATTGCTTCCTTGTTGGAATTTGGTGTGATCGAATTCCTTATTGAAATAAATTGTAGAGTTCTAATTGAAGTGTACATCAAGAGAAATTTTAATTGGAATGCCATGGAGAAATTCTAGTTAAAGTTCTATTTGGAAGCCTATTAGGAGTTGAAAATTGTGTTGGACTTGCTGAGATCAAATAATGAAACTTTTGGCATTTTATTTCATCTACAAATCTACTTCTAAGGATGGATTTTTTCCTTTAAATACTAGACTCTTTCTCTAGATTTGTGAAGCTTTATTGTTGTAGTTGTATTTTCTCCATATTGTCAATTAATATAACATTGCTATTGGTTGTGATCTTACATATTTCATATTATACCATTAAATCTCAATTCTTACGTCGCCTTCTGGTCTAACAAGGTGGTTTTAGAGTTGTTTCGCCTCCAAGAAGTGGTATCAGAGCTAAGTTGTAGGCTTTTCATGATTTGATTGAGACTTTTTCAGAGATGGCTACTTTGAAATATAATATTCCGCTATTTGATCATAATACAAGATTTTCGTTGTGACAAGTAAAGATGATGCTATTTTGCCGTAGATGGATTTAGACGATGCGTTGCTAGATTTTGATAAGATGACAGCTGATTGGACAACAGAAGGATAGGAAAGCTCTATCGTAGATTCATCTTTACCTCTCCAATAACATTCTGTATGACATCTTGAAGGAAGAAGGCAACGGTGGCTTTGTGGTTAAAACTGGAGCAATTTTGCATGATAAAAAGTCTTCAGAGCAAACTGCATCTTAACCAAAGGCTGTATTCCTATAGCTTGATAGAAGGAGGATCACTAGAGGACCACCTTGCTGTGTTCAAAAAAATCATAGTAGATTTAGAGATATTGGAGGTCAAGTATGATGAGGCAGATCTGGCCTTGATCCTGTTGCGTTCACTACTAGCCTCTTATTTGTCATTTTGGAATATGATCTTGTACAGTCATGACATGCTTACCATTGAAGACGCTTACGATGCTTTATACTCATAGAAGAAGATAAAACATCTGGTTAGAGCTACATCTAGAGATGAGGAAACTTTAGTATCTCATGGTGGTTAACGGAGGGACAGATCGAAGGTGAACTTCAGCAATTTGTATTGCTTCGACTACAGGAGGAAAGGACATGTTCGAAAGGATTATGATAAGTTGTAGGCTAAAGGTAATTTAGCTACAAATCATGGGATGCAATCATTGACTTCGGACGAGATCAATGTAGTTGAGGATTTTTTGGATGGCGGTGACGTGATGTTGACCATAGTATTTGACATAGAGTCTAAGCCTGGCGATGAATGGATTCTTGATTCAACATGTTCGTACTATATGTGTTCCAATCGAGACTTGTCTCAGACATATGAGGTGGTTAGGTAAGGTGGAGTTGTCATAGGAAACAACTAGTTTTACCAGGTTGTTGGAATCGATCCAGTCAGATTAAGATAACAGGATGGGACAATCAGAACACTTAGCCAGGTTTGACATGTTCCAAATCTGAAGAGGAATTTCATCTCGTTGAGTACCTGTATTTAAAAGGGTATAAATTCTCTAATAGAGGTAAAGTCTTGAAAGTCCGAAGAAGTGTTCGGGTTATACATATTGCAAGAGAGTACAGTTATACATATTGCAAGGGAGTGCAGAACCATTTAAGAGACATCTGGACAAGTTCAGTACCATGGTGAAAATTCAATTTGGTACAGTATCTGCTGTGATGGGCTATGGGTCAATTCAGAATATTGCTCAAATAAGCGTTGGTGATTTCGCTTTACCACCAATTTCAGTGGATACACTGTGTTCAGTTGTTAGGGTTGGATCCAGTGAGCATCGGTACAGTGATGTCGGTAATGCCTGTAATATTTTCGGGATCGTTGAAGGTAATAGTTCTAGCAAGGGGCATTTTGATCATGTATTTTGTGTGATTTTTGCTACAGGGTGTGCTTCGATTCTGTTTGGTCAACAGTAATTCCTAGGTAGAATTATGGGAATCCAAAAATAGGGTTCAGGTGTCGCTTGTGGACATTGTGCATAGAAAGATATTTTTGTAGAATGGAGAGTTTTGGTTCTGGTTGAAATATTCAGTTTATTTCACTGCAGTAGAATTTGTTTTTTCAAGTGGAGGAATTTTGAAGTTTTGTTCGTTGTAGTAGAATTTGTGTCAAGGTATCAATTTTTAGAATTTGGGTGTGATCCGAATTCCTTGTTGAAATAATTGTAGAGTTCCAATTGAAGTGCACATCAAAAGAAATTCTAATTGGAATGCTATTGAAAAATCCTATTCAAGTTTAATTGACAAATTCTAGTTAAAGTTCGAGATGTTCCAAATCTTGCATATATTACTATGTAAGTTCCTGAAAAGGTCAAATTTAAGCAAAAGGATGTATTAACAAGATAATAGTAACCCAAATAAAAAAGAAAATTTGAATATAATTACAAATTAATGAAATTAAACCTAACACTTTTAATCCCCAACAATAAAGCACAAAAAACTTGTTTGATAAAATTCCAAATGCATGCGAGATCGTTGACAAGTAATATTATAAAATGAGTTTGAGTATTGTTCCCACGATGATTTAGACTTATACTAAAGAATAACTAAACACATATTAATTACAAAAAAGCATATGAAAATAATTTAATATTAGTCACCTAGAAATTATAATTAAAAAGAGATGAT